GTTTCTGAAAGACATTGGCTTGTTTGAAATGCTGGACTGACTCATTTATAAAGCACATGTGCAAGTATATCCACCATTAGTGTATGTGCCCAGACTAATGCTAAAAAGAAACATCTCATCAGCAAAGAAGAGATCTACTAGTATGCTTCCAGGAGGTTTCCAACTGGGCTCAAGCACCTGTGGACAACTGTACTCCAACCAACACTACATAATCTTCTGCATTGATAAAATACTCCTTGTATGGAGATAATATTTTTTACACACTAAAAAGCACTAAAGGGAAAAGAATGCGGTATCCTTACAACCAATTCATTCATATAAACTAAGCAAGGTAGGGTTGTGCCGAGTATCTACATTGTACATATCTGAATATTCGATCAATTATTGAATATTTGAATATTATTTTCCAAATTTGAATATTTGAATGCAAAATTCATAAAAAGGAACGGGGAGTTTCCTTTGTTTTAAATGAGAAAACTGCACTATAGAGGCTTGTTTCAAGCAGATTCAAATGAAAAATGATTCAAAATTTGAATTATTCATTACTCAATTTAAAAGGAATAGAAATTTTCAATAGGGCATGGAGTATTGTTCGTCTTTTAACCTTGCTAAATAATGGTTGGAGATACTCCTAGACGTGAGAAGCTATTGTACTGATCAGAATTTACAATTGTGTGCATCATTACAACTGATTTTGTATATGGTTTGTTCCTCAACAATCTGCTGGTCGGTACAAATGAATATTCAGATATTCGATCAAATTGAAGGCCAAATATTCAACTAGCGACTTATTCGAATTGACTCAGCCCTAAAGCAGGGCCAAGTATAAAAATGCTTGGCATCCAAGCTTTGGGGGAGGGAGGTGGAACTTTTTTGTATGGTATTTTAATTTCAAGACAGCTTTTATTACTATTTTTCAATTTTTTCAAATCCAGCCATTTCCACAGTGGCCAAGGTTTTTTTAAATTCATGACATGCATGAAGCTGGACATACATCAAATTATGACTTATTAACACTGCTATCAACACCTTTGGGCCCATTTACAAGTATACAGCGTGTAGCAAAGAACATTCCATACAGTAAAAAATTGTTTATTGGAAGGGGCAGTTATCATGTTTGGCATGACCAGCTGATCACCTGAATGCTCTGCATAATTGGTCGATACTGCATGAAATCTCCTTCTCTGTATTTCCCTGTTTTGAAACAATTTTTCTTAAACATGCAACGTGGCCAGATCAGATGGCTAAACATGATTGTGCCTTTGTTTACTCATGCAGAGTGCTATGACCATGTAGCTACAGCCAGTGATTGGCATACAAGTACCAAACTAGCTTGAGTACATTGCAACTCTAACATGTTTAATTAAAATCCATGAATTACCAGATAGGCCTATGCAACGTTAGGCAGGCTTATCTGGTATGTCATCTAGCCCAGGTTGGATACCAGTCTTCATTACATTATGACTGATGTCCAGGTCCTAAGATGACCACAAATTTGGTTCTAATTTGTTCCTGGTTTACCTTGTTGACAAAAATAATTTCAGATTTACAAATTCTTCACGATTTGATCTATCCGTCTGGGGGGTTAAGGAATTTCAGAATGAACCATGGACTACAAAATCCAGGAAAATACATTCAGAGACAACGTTACTGTTTTTTACGGTAGTAGGCGTAATTCATCGTTCTTGAGTTGCAAAATGCACGCATGTACAGGAATCCGAGCTGCGTGCACTCATTACACATGCGCAATTTCTAGTGAAGGTCTGTTGCATGCCTGCTACACGGAGACCGTTACTGGTACCCGGCTATAACCCACCTGCCGATATAAACTTTTTTGTTTTTTTTCCATTTTTTCGGATCGGGGGCTTCAGACTGACCAATTAATCCCCTATTGGATTAGGTTACCCCTAAAATGTTCATATTTTGTTCTGCTTCATGTTTAGGTTTATAAACATAAATTTGCAAAACAACGGCTATTTTATAAAAATAATCTCGGTTAGCATGCCTGTTTTATGCAGGATGCTTGTATAGGAAGAAGTTCATCAGTGATCTCTTTGAAGTGTTTAATTTGTTCATAGATTTTTATGATTAAATATGTATAAATACACAATATTGTAGAGATCCGATTTTTATTAAGAAACAGTAACTTATCTTGATAAATGAGGCAAGAGTGACGCTACGGATTGGGAACACAGTATGCAGAGCGCTGGCGAAGATGTGGTAAGTAGTGATCACACACAAATTGTGATGGTGATCAGCCTTTTTTGTATTCATAATCTAAGACATTAAAGCAAGATTGAATTTTGAATTGGAATGATTGGCAATGACGAGTTGAATTTTAGAGCAGCAGATAGCTAGATTATGTTGATTTTTAAAAAATGTCAAGCGAGTTGGTCTGTGGCATACTTTGGGGGGGGGGGAGGAGCCAGAAATACTCTTCAAACCATAAGCCTAATGGAGGCCTACTTCAATTTGCTTCACATCAAACAGCTGGAAACTTTCACATGTAGCATTTTTAGAATCCTCAGTAATCATTCATGCCTTCCAATATTTTTGTCAACATTTTTCATTGATTTGGAACATCTTTGTCTTAAAATTCACTGGTTTATTGGGGAGGTTGAAATTTATGGTCATGCTAGAGCTCTGTCTGGTTATCTGACAGTAGATCCCTTAAAAATGTGTCATTTCAAAAAAGGCAATGAATATAAAAGACAACACACGTATGTGCTTTTTCGTTTTTAAATTAAAGCCAAAGAGATCATGATGGTAAATCGCCTTTATTGACTCGTGTTACAGAAGTCTTGTTTTTTTTTAAATGACACATGTATTTGTACCTGCGCTTCTTGAAAAAGAAAGAAAAGAAAAATTCTCTGGCCGTAAGCTTCACTTTTCAAAAGGAACAACTCAACAAATAGGAGTACATGTACATTGCTAGCGAAAGAAATTTGCCAAAGCCTTGCTGGATAATGTCAGGAGTTTTTATCGAAATTTGAGGACACCATTGGTCAGTCTTTTTTACGTCGAACTGTTAACACATTATACAAAGGCTTGCAATGCAATTGTTGCAAAAATGGCCGGGATTAGTACAAATCCTAAATTTCAGTTTCCCTGAATTGTAAGCTTGCATGCAGTTACATGTTCATGGGTCTACCGTCACCAAAATGAGCCACAGCCTCGCCCGCGATGTTGCATGCACTTGGGGTTGAGAACCGCATTGTGCGTGTACACAGCTCGGAATCTCCTGATCCTATGCGGAATATACGTAGTTGGGCCTGCACACTGTACGAACTGCATGTACTAGAGAACAGCTAAAAACAGTCAGCAACAATAACAAGAATTTCAAGGTTACTTCAGAGTTTATTGTCCTGTTTCTGTCTGTTGTGGTGATGTATCAAATTTCTTAACCCACTGGCTGTGGAAATAAGGACGCATAGGATTTACAGATGTCAAATTGGCTTCTTTGGTAAAAGGAAAAAATGTTGCATCCTGACTCCACTTTTCTCATCATATATCATCTCAACAAAAGTCAGTCATTACAGGAATGCTGGAGAGACGAATTCTGGACTGAGAAACATTTACTGATGTTGTTGGGAAATACTTAGAAAATTCTCTTCACTCCCCATAGACTTTGTATACAACTGCTGAAGTGGAGTCAGGATGCAGCTTTTTTCCAGGTAAAGTATTGAAAATTTAGTTATGAAATTTTTCGCCTGGATTTTGACCCTTTATATACTGGACTCCCTCCGTAGTGGTAGTTAGTACCGTCAGGGAGTTCACCTACCTACCTGGGCCGGGCTACTGTCATCATGACTTGTCACATCATCAATCATTATGACCATAAAGCATAGGATACATGTAAACCTTGGAGGTACAACTGTAGGAAGACATGACTGATGAGCGATTAGTAACTGAGACACGTGGAAACAAATGTTACTCCAAAGCAAGCTTAACAAACACATACCTGGCGAGTTATAAGGGTCTTGAATTTTCTCATTTGAATCATAACTTTTCTCTCTAAACAAGTGTTTTTCTACAGCGAAATATAATGACCCCCTGACTGCAGTGCAGGACTTCGATGAGGCAAGACATCTAAAAATATTCCGGTTCGATGCGAGAGAGGGCGCCACATACACGTATGTCGCGACGCGACGCGACGCAGACGACAACAGCGAACGAACCCTTGAGGGCGCACAATTCACACATGTGAAAAGTGCATGAAGTGCATGTGTGTGATTCCTTCCTCCATGGTTCATCCGAGCAATAATTTACCCGTCTGCCCATGCATGAGACTTCTCCTTACAGTTAGATCATCGCTTTGTAGAACATTCAGGTTGTTGCAACATGGTGTTTGCAAGTATAAGCCTTGCATCAAAGGTACACAACATGACTCTAGTGAGTCAACGAGTACTACACTACACTAGGCCTAGCGTTAATTGAGTACTTCATCATTCATGTACTGTACTTATCTAGCCCCACTGCACTAGTGTGGTACAGACTCTCACTCCCGATCCATCCTTAGCCACACATACGTATACGCAATTTTGTGTTGGCGTATTGAACATTCCGGCGCACCCACTTTTTTTCTTTTGCACACGAACATGATTCTTGACCTTTCCGCTTTTTAAAAACCATTTATTGAATGATTTCACTTACGTTATTGAGGTATTTTCCAGTCTTTTTGCCTTTATCCATTCAATCTTTATCCATTCAACAATCTGTTGCCTGGCTGCATGACGTGACTGACCCACCCACATTGCATAGGCTTGACGCCTACAGACTGTTAATGAAATAATCATATTTATTATAACATTTTCCTTGGCAAATTACATGAATCTGAAGCTTTAGTTTGGCTGGGCAAATAAACTGTTGACATTGCAACCTTCACCAGTAGGTTAAAACTAAGTTAAAGACGTTAAAGTTAACATTGGGGCGAGGTGGAAATGGGGCCAAGATGGGGATAGGGCAATGTGGAAATGGGGCGAAGAGTGGATAGGGCAAAGTGCAATGTGGCAAAATTCCAAGCTTGTTTGATGATTGCACATGTAATTTCAAGGATGCTTCACAGATCTCTCTGAACACTTTTCAAGATGAAAGTTGCTCTTGAGAATGCGAGAAATTTCCTTGCGGGTTGCTGTTTCTTTTACTTAGAAGCAAAAAATTCCTTGTCTTCCTCTAGCCATGTTTCAGTGATTTGGTGGGTAAAAAAGATATTTCTTGCATTACAAATGAAAAATGGAACTGTTTTTCATTCTTCAAAAATTGGATCAATAGATTACAATGTTATTTGTTGTCACATTGAAAAAGGGAAAGAAGGTGATTGCCTTTTTTATGTTAAGTAAAAGACGAGAAAGGAATTGTTTCTCTGTGTTGAAACTTTTGTTTTTAAATTGCAAAACGGGAAACAAGTTGGTTTCTAGTTTTCATATTTCGTTTTTGAATTGAGAAACGACTTTGGTTTTTGATTTTCATTTGTTTTCAAAAAACAATAATAAAATGGAAAAATGTTTTATTTTTGTTTTTTTAAATTTTCGTTTTCAAATATAACAAATGAATGAAATGTACATGGGTCTGTGTACGTTTTGTTTATTTGTTTTTTATTTCAAAACGAATATCACACAACCAAACACAAGTCGTTTTTCCATTTTCTGATATGAAAACAAAAATCAAAAAATAAAAGTTACCTTTGAGCTGAAAAATTTTCTTGTGAGTTGCTCTTCCTTTTCCTTATAAATAAGCAACAGATTCATTGTATTCCTCTAGTTCACCATGTTTGATTTGATGGCTTACAAAGACGTTTCTTACATTACACAATGAAAAATTTAACTTTTTTGTTTTCGTTCTTGGAGCAGCAGATTGCGTTGTTTCGTTTTCACTTTGAAAAATGGAAAAAGGAACATATTTTCTTTTTCATTTTCAAATGATAGTCGAGAAAGAACTTGTTTTTTTGTTTTCTTTTTTTTTTTCAAATAAAAAAAATGGAAAACAACTTGTGTTTTGGTTGCTTGATTTTCATTTTCAAATCGGAAAACGTATGAATGAAATGTACATGGCCCTTCATCCCATTGGAAATGTGCAGAGACATGCTGATGGTAGATGTTCATGTACACTGTAGCCATAACTCTGGAAACCCATTGTTGACATCACCTGAATTTTATGATACTGAAATTGTCCATAACAGTTGAACTGCATGCATTATCCCAAGTAAACTGGGTCCCAAGCCAACTTGGCCCTCAGTCAACTTGGTCCCGGGCCAACTCGGTCCTATAGTCAACTCACCCTAGTCAACTCAATTCCAAGTCAACTCAGACTTCAGTCAACCTAGTCCCAAGACAATTCAGTTCCAAGTAAATTCGGTCCCAAGTCAACTCTGTCCCAAGTCAAGCTGGTCCCAAGCCAACTCAATTCTTGGTCAACTCAGTCCTCAGCTCAGTCCCAAGTCAACTTGCCCCCAAGTCATTTTGGTCCCAGGCCAACTCTGTCCTTTGTCAACTCAGACCCTACATGTAGGCAGCTCAATCCCAAGTTAACTTGATCCTCGGTCAACCCCATCCCAGGACAATTCTGTTCCAAGTCGATTTGGTTCCCAGTCAGCTTAGTCCTCAGTCAACTTGGTCCCAGGATAATTCAGTCCCGAGTCAACTCCATCACAAGTCAATTTGGTCCCAGGTCGGCTTGGTCCCTAGTCAACTTAGTCCTCAGCTCACAGTCTTCAGTCAACTCAGTCCTCAGTCAACTTGGCCTGAAGTCAACTCAATCCCAAGTCAAGTTGGTCCAAGGTCACGAGAACAGAGGGGGAATGGACGTCCAGGCAAATTAATAAATTATTTGGGTGAATAACTGTAAGAAAACTTTAATAGAGAAACATAGGCCTCACAGGAAGCTTGTTTACTAAGTTTGGGCTTTTGCCAAGCTTTTTTTTCTAGGGCAAAGAATACCTATAGTCTAGTAAAGTGGCCGTAGTCTGGGGTTAGTAGTCTACCTCGTCAGGGTACCTGATGGTATCTGGTGTTAATAATGATAGTCTCCTCTTAACAACAAGCGTATATTTTATGTATAAAGGTTCACTGTTGCTATTAACAAATTTGAAATTTCGGACTGGTCATGTCTTAAAAGCTATAGTGATTACAAAAGCTTGTAACTGATCAGTATTGCAGTGTTGTGCTTCACTGCAATGTTGCCATCCAAAAGCATAGATTTCCGTAGTATTCCACCAGATTCTAAGCCCTTTCGGTGATAATTGATGTGGCTGTCATTGCCACTTTTTTGGTTTTGATTTGGCAAAATAACCAACCAAATTTGGTCAACAATCACATGTCAACCAGTGGACAATTTTAGCTCTTATCTGCTACATTTTATGAGTATGGGTTACCTGCAAGGTTTGTCTTCCTTAGCTGTGTCTGAAGTATATGTTGCCTGCAGTTGAACGTACTGTGCAACTACTTCTAAAAGAGATGCATGTAGGCCTGATAGGCATGCAAATTCGGCTATGTGTATTTCAAATCTTTGACTTTGTTTGCAGTCATGAAACTTTGAGCCCCCAGATTTCATCCATGGATCCTTTCTTGATTTGATTAGATTTCAAGATTTACATGTATAGTTGGTTCCAATGCATCTGTGTGCTAAAATGTAATGTTTGTTTTCACACAGGCAGGACGATGGAGAACTAACTTCATTGATCAAGTTAGGATTTATGTCAAGGGTGGAAGTGGTGGTCAGGGCTATCCTTCCTATGGTGGGGAAGGAGGCAGTGGTGGAGATGTCTATGTCAAAGCAAGCAAGACTGTCACCATGAAAGATTTAAAAAACAAGAAACGTTACTCTGCTGGAACAGGAGAAAATAGTAGGTCAGTGAAAGCAAGGAATAAGGAATAAAAAAGTGGACTTGATCGATTCACCCTAGTTTTCTCATTTGTGTCTGTTTACTTGGCAGTGGTTCCCCTTGACCTTACACATTGAGAGTATTCTTCAACACTTACCAGACCGTACATGTAATTTGCTAACAGTAGAATCTTGATGGTTGCGCCAAATTACATAGAAGGCGCATGTTGTGGACTATGTTCATGGTGTTACAAACATCCTTTAAACTATTGTAGCTCCATGGGGAATGTGCAGCTTGATGCCGCCTACTTCTGGCAAAAACAACTAATCAAATGCAACAACCATTTCTGCCCTAACCTGGGTGGGAATAAAAGTGACTTGCCAAAGGTCACAACATGCACCTGTAACAAGCAGCTACATGTAGATTCAACCCCCCACCCTATGTTAGCTGCAAAACCTAACTACTGGGCCACGTAGCTCCAGAATGTGTTGTCAAATTTTTAATGGCACACAGCAGTCATTGATTTATGGCATTGTATTTGATTTTAATATGTTTGGAAGGAATCCTTGCAAAAGTATGGGGGTCCTTATAAAGGTACATGTGCATTGCTTATTCTAGAAATCAAGAGTCCAACTTTTTCGTGTCCTATGTGTAAATTGCTGTAGGATTTTTAACAGTATTTGAAGGTTACAAACAGTGTGAAGGAAACTCTAGTCAATTCTTCCCCAGCCAAGTATACAGAGATCCTGCATGTAAAACCTACATGTACAGGTACATTGTACGCATTGCTCAGTTGTGCAACCAAGTTTTGCACCTGCATTCAATTTCTGAATGTTCTGGAGTATGGAATTTTGTGTTGTTTGAGGCTCTTTTGTGTCACTGTTTTTGTTGAGGATTAGGAAAATGCTGCTTTTTATCACCTGACCTACTCATGTAAATTGTGTTGATTAGGATTCGAGCTTTGCAAGGGTCAAAAGGAAATGATGTCACCATCAACGCCCCACTTGGCATATGTGTCACAACAGATAAAGGGCAAGTTCTGGGTGAGTTTATTGAAACATTTTATTCATAGAAAGTAGAACGTCTCACACTGCACACACACATCATAAACAGTTCCAAGTGGCTAATGGATTCATATGCCTAGTTGATATCTACATATAGCTGTATAGTCAGCTTACCTCCTCAAACTTTCCTTAACACAAAAAGAAAAATTTCCTTAACATAAAAACAAGAGGAAGCTAGTGTGAATCATAACGATGATGAGACTGATAAACACTTGTTTCATGGGATGAGCACTGGTCATGAGAGGACATCACTTCAACAAAAACAGTGATGAATTGTTTAAGTATCATCTGGAGGCACATAATTTTAGGTCATCTGCAGTGCTTGTTATGTTGTAAAATGCTTTACTGAAAATTTTGTGTAAAAGAGGAGGAAACAGCTATGGGGGTAAATTCTTGGGGATTATTCTCCATTGTTCTTTGTCTTCAGGAGATCTTGATCAGGAAGGGAAACAGGCATTGGTTGCAAAAGGAGGCCCAGGAGGTTTCAATGGCAATAAATGGTCTGGACAGAAGGGGCAATGCCTTAGCATCAAGTTGATTCTGAAACTCATCGCAGACGTTGGACTTGTTGGGTATGGCCAGATGTGGTATCAATAACAGCGCGTTCCCACTTGAATTGGGAAAAGGCGGATCTTGATCCGGCATTTTGGTGTGATCGTTATCTTACTGCAATGAAACCGCAAGTCGCATTCCCACTTATGCTTGATCCACCTTTTTGGACGGAAATGTCGAGCCCAAGAGCCTAGTACATTGTCTCTTCAAACTTTGCTTCCATTTTTGATACTCTGTTACACGCTGCAGGCTATACGCTAACACAGAATTAGTTTTTGATGGAAACAAGTGAAATTACACAAATGGAAAAGGATAAGAAACAGACGAATGCACAACGAAAATTGTAAAAGGGCTAGGTACACATCGCGGCATGCATGCATCGCGCATGTGTGGTGACACATGTAGTTCAGCAGTTGTTTATTGTGCATGCTGTGCACGTTAAAAATTTCACATGAGCTACATGCCAAAAAACATATTTCTTTGTTCATCAGACCGGAAAAGTTTCGTGCCACTTGTGCACACACGGATGTTGACAGGTCAAATTGCCGGATCAGATCCACCTTTTGTACTTTCCATCTGATCGTGATCCACCAATTGCTGGATCTGATCCACCAATTGGGGATCTGATCCTGATCCACCTTGTAACAGTTAGCGTTCCCACTACACACAATTGCCGGATCTGATCCAGCAATTGAGGTATCTGATCCAGCAATGTGACAAAAGGTGGATCAGATCCCCCAATTGGTGGATCAAGTGGGAACGGGCTGTTTTAGACAGTTTAGCATTTTCAAAAGACAAAAGTCATTTGACAAGTACATGTGGGAATGATCATGCTGATAGAGTAGATCACACATGCGTGTACATGTATTACTATTTCTGAATGACATTGGGTGCACTTCATTGTTTTTAGCATGCATTGTTGGAATGTGGAACTGGCTCAGTTTTAAAAACAATGTTATTTCGTACAGTAGCAAAATGCACATTTGAATTTGGCATCCTACGACGTCATGTATCTACACTTTTCAGTATTTCACGTTTGTAGGTGGTTGGTGGATAAAGTGAATCCTTGGAATGTTTGTTTTGGAGTACATCCATGTCATTCTAGTTGATCATTAATGTTAGAAATGTCACTCAAATTTCTTATAGCAATAAATTTGACATGTTCTTTTATTTGTAAACATTTTGTTGCATGCATTAAGGTAAGGTTTGGTGTTAAGTTACATGTTTATAAGATTATGAAATGTGGAGTAACTTTGCACCATACATAAGCCTTGCATCACAGATTTTTACCATAGCTGTGCAATAAACATGTACTTCGGTCGATTTCACGGAAAGTTGCTTAGCCGTGCAACATTTTAGTTCTATTAAAGTTCTTGGATTGAGACAATTATGGCCTTTATGGCGGATGTTCTTTAACAATGTTACAGCAGTCACAGAAAATTGTTAAGTTCTCCCTAGCTTCTCATTACCTCCCCCCTCTCCAAAAATGTGTGTCTTGTATAAATCTTGTTTGGTTGAGCAATAATGAGCCTTAACTGAAAATGATTAATTTGTTAAATCGTTCATTTCCACTTTGTCTGGCACAACTTAAACTGGGTGAAATGATTGCAGAGGTTACACCATACTAAGTCATGGATGTGCACACTGTGTAGCATTCGTGAAAATTGAACTGGATAATTGTTGTGGCTACCTTGAATTTCTCCTTTTTTACCTTTCTTTTTCTTCATAAGTGGACATTTACAATGTTTCATTGAATTTGTAAATTAGAGTGTATCTGAATTTGCACTTCCTGCATCCCAGTTTTCCAAATGCAGGTAAATCAACGTTGCTGAAAGCTTTGTCAAGAAGTCAACCCAAAATTGCAGACTACCCATGTAAGTAGAACAGTACTGCTGTGGGAACTCACTCTTATCAGACAAGAAATACTTGGCTTTGGTATGATAGTGCAGGACACTTGTCAAACTTCTCATCCCTTGCTTGCATGTTTCAATTGAAAGATATCCAAAAATGGATGCTGGATAATTTCTTGAGATTCAATGCACACAAGATAAAAATTCATAGTCATTTCTTTTTGACAAATGTGAAACAAAATTAAAAACATAGAGTTCGGTAAT